TTCAAAGGGAGATATAAAGAGGGCCTGTGAAAGAAACTTAGGAACAACTGGAGTTAGAGGCCTAAGGTGGATGATAATTCAGCAAAGGAGACAGAGAAGAATCAGTGAGAGGGCAGGAAGTGAACAAGGAGAGAGTAGTGTCATGAAAATGCAGAGGGGACAAAGTACCTGGGAGTGAAGAGTGGACAGCAATGTTAAAATGCAGCAGTTTGAAAAGGATTAGTACTGAGAAAAGACCCTCAAGATTTAGCAATTAAGAGAACATCCAGAACTTTGGAAAGAGCTATTTGGAGAGAATGATGAGAGTGAAAACCAGATTGGAAAAGGGTCATGGAGTGAGTGAAAAGAGTGAAGTATGAGAAGCGAGCATAGACACATTTTTAAACAAATTTGGTTGAGAAAGGTAAGGCATATATAATAACTTGAAAGGATGGTAGCATCTACCGAACATTTTTTTAGCATGGGGGAGCCTTGGACACATTTGAAGGTAATAGAGAAGGAACCATTAGAAAGGAAGAAGTTGGGATTTCTATAGGAGAGAGGATGATTGAGGATGTAGTATACTATATCAAACTACTGTCATGGAGTCCTTTACTTCTACAATGTTTCTTTAAAACCAAGACTGGCTCCAGGTAGAAATGATGGTAATTTATTCACCTATTTGTTGAATAAATGAATGAGTGAATGAATGAATGAAAGACTATAAATATTTGGAATAAAATGCAGCCTATTTCCCCCATTATAAAAATTACGATTCTTCTATAGTAAGAGAAAAATGAAACTAATGGCCTTAATTAAGTTCTAATTTTTGAATTCTTTGGACACGTTAAATTCTATTCAATAAATATTTCTAAAGTTCTCACTATCTGGTTATGTGTGAGATACTCAGCTAGGCTCTCAGAATATGAATGTGACACATTATGCACTCTACTTCTCCTTCTGGAGCATGCTCAGCTGCCATTTTAGATGACCCATGTAAGCTGTGGCAATTGGGTAAGAGTACTTTCAGTTTATTATGACTCATTGATGGATTAAGTTTCCATATTTGATTGATTAGTCAAAATTCCATGAATATACAAAAGAGTCACTTGTCCTTCCAACTTTGAAGCATCAGGATTCTCTGAGATGTTCAGAGGGTCATTTAGATGATATAGTTAACTCCACCTAGTTTTAAGCCAGGAACATGTGTTTTACCTAAGCAAGCTGGTGTCTAGGATGGGCTGCCTACTTTTCGTGTATTTTCTTTGTTACAGGCCTTAGTGAGAGCTAAACAAGCTTAAAGTTCGAAGGTTGTGGTGGTAACATCTCCCACTAGCCAAGAGTAATGACTACTGGAGTGGTTATAGTTATGATAGCAGTAGAAGCAACAGGAGGAAGAGTTAGGAATAGACAAAGCCCACCTGAAAGAAGATATCCGCTTAACATTTGATTGGACTCTGCTTAGTAAAGGTTAAAGGCTAAACAGTCTTGTAAAACTAAGTCTCGCATCCTAAATAAGGCTTGAATACAAGCCTTCCAATTGGTGTAGTAAACAGTGATGAGTTATTGAATTCTGTTCTAATCATTCTTTATATTTTGATTCTTTTGTGCTTCTCATTATCTTTTCTGTAAAGGTTATGTCCCATAACCAATTTATATTTGTACATCGAGTATCTTTTTTGAAATGTATGTGTATGTATATGTTTAAATATTAGAGTATAATTGTCTCCAGAATATCTGGGATGGGGGACCAAGTCAATGAATGAATGTAAAAATTGGGACAACTGATCCACTCTCATGAAGTCAAGTTTCCCCAGCAATGAGCCCCATGCAGGAGCATATATCCAGGTACAAAGCAGGGAGGAGCTAGTTCCCGAAGCCCCCACAGCTCCCAGAAACAGTTGGCTCTATTCTCTATTCTAGATAAAGATGAAAATTAACATTGCTTTTGCCATCAAGGCATTTACAACCTGTACAATGACGGTGGGGGAGTACAACAAATTTTGTTTTGTTTTTAAATTAGTACAGTGAGCAGGGAGAGATCATATAAAGGCATATACAGGAGGCTTCATAGAGGACATGATATCTGACTTAGGCCTTAAAAGAAGACTTTTGATAGGCTGATGTGTAAGAAGGGTATTCCTATACGGGTAGGATTCCATAAGGTCTTTATGAAAAAGCACTTCGCTGAGGGAACGTAGGACAAGATTAGGGAAGAACTAGTTATGAAATTTAGCTGGAACATAAAATGAATGAAGGAAGGGAAATAGAATGAACTCAATCTGGGCAGTTAAGTGGCACAGTGCATAAAAGTGCCAGGCCTGAAGTCAGTAGGATTCATCTTCCCAAGTTCAAATCTGGCCTCAGACACTTAACAGCATTGTGAACCTGGGCAAGTCAAGAGTATAACTTCAACTTTGAAACAATGGTTTATGGTAAATATAAGCACTCTTAAAAAGAAGGAAAAAAAATCTGTTTTTTGATGGAAATGCAGTTAAATTTTGAACTACTGAATAGAAAAAGTGATGTAATCACAAAATGATTGGCTGAGTATTTTTAATGCCATAAACATGCCAGCATATATAAATAAGATATGATCTGAAAATTTTATTTCAAAAATCATTAATAGTAAAACAAATAAAGTGTGACTCCCAAGGTAAATCTGTAAAAACAGAAATTTAAAAGTATCCACTGAACATCATGGTACAATGGAAAGAACATTGGCTCTGGAGTCACAGGATCTGCTTTCAAATCCTGCCTCTAATACATACCACCTGTATGATGGGTGTCCAAGTCACTTAATCTCTATGGGCCTCAGTTTCCTTACCTGTAAAAGTACCATTTGGTTTGAACCACATTATCTTTGAAGTCCCTTCCAGCTCTTAACCTATGATCCTACTGACTTCATAGTCTCATATTAAAAACCAAATGCCCACATGTATTCCTTTCATCTGCCTCATACTGCAGATGTGAGTTATTGTTCTTATCCATTTTGATCAGCATCGGCATGCAAACTTCATTCCATGCTACTATATAATCATCCAGCCTAAACCCCAACAACTTGCAATAAAATTAATTTGCCTCCCAAAGTGCAAAACACTATTGTATCCTCTTTCCTTTTTAGTCACCTATGAACAATGGAAAGTAATTCTGTCACAGGCAGTCAGTGGGAAAAATAATCTAGCCTGCTTTCACAGTTTATTGACAAACCTGTTCCAAACACCTAATAACCATGCCCCTTCCCCACAGCAGACCTGCAGTTGCTTTAAAATGTATTAGAAAGCAGACTTTTGAATAAAACTAGAGAACAATAACTAAACTTGTGCTCCAAATGTAAAGTGCTCCAAACCAAAAATTAAAGACACAGAAACTTCTTTTGTGACTGTACTCCAGTTTCCCATCCTCCCCCTGGGCAAGGCTGAAAGGGTTGCTGAGTTTCTTTAGTGGTAGCTTATCATTGCTGCTGTTACTGCTTTTAAGTTTGACTTGTGAAGGAAAACGAGGGAGGGGTAAAAATGATTACTCTCCAACAGAATGAGATCACACAGACTTGGAACAGACAATCCTCTCAGCTCTGTATTCTTCATAGGATTTTTGACTCAGTCCAAAAGAGAATGGAGTACCTTTGAAATTACTTTCTAAACTTCAGGAGCTAAAGGGTTGAAGAGCAGTTTCTACTTAAAATTAAACATCAAAATGGAAATTCTCAATTCCTGAACTCAGACTTTGCCTTCTATCCTTTTAGGTCACTTTTGTTCCAATATATTTCTTTGAATATGATATAATTTATTATTTTTTTCCATTCATGGTTAATTATAGGCTATTTCTACATAACATTAAGCATTTTTATGAAACTGAAATATTCAATCATCTAGATGTTTCTAAATATCCAAACATTCCAAACATGTTAGCATCATGTAGACCCAACATTTAAAAGATTGACTTCTTAATTTTTTGCCTTTCATTTGGATATTCTGAAACTGAAAAAACCTCTACTCAAATTGAATATTGAAAATGAATTTGATACTCTTATTTAATGCTATAATAATGTGTACACACATATATATTTGAGTAGTTTTATATATATAATATTAAGTAGATTTATATGTCTACACCTATATACAATGACACTACAGACTTGTTTATAGCATTTCTGGATAAGATAATTCTATGTATGTAATATATCATATATAATAATGACAAATTATTATCTATTTTAATTCAACTCAATTATAGAAGCATATATTACATTTCTACTATGTATAAGTTATTGTACTAAGTTGCTGGATATAGGATAGCTGTATCTCTTAGTAGAAGCTAATCCTATTTAGAAGAAATCATAATTTTGTATCAGACATAAATAGACACATACAATTTCCCCTTCCCTTAATTCTATTGATATAAACTGGACATGAAAATTCAACTGATTACTTCTGTCTTTGGACTTTTTCTCTATTTTTTTGAAATCTGTACAGGATCTTTCTATTAATTTCATTGAATTACTGATTCAAGTAAACCAAGCCCTTGTGTATGCAATCTGCAAGAATATGTATATAAAACATTTTATTATTTCTGTAATATTCATTAATTCTGATTTTGAACACAAACTACATACTTGTGCATTTTCCACGTAGACTCTGTGAAAATCATCTTTTATTTTGAAGTTTTCTTCTTATAGATCATTTAAATAAAGAGTTATAAAAGCAAAAATCTGAAGTCTGAAAAGTGAATGTATATGTCTGTGTTGATTATGTATATTTTCACAGGAAAATATATATACACATATATATATTTGTGCTTATGTATGTTACAATATCACATGCAAAAAAAAATAAGGGATGGTCTTGGTGACTCTCTCGAGCTTGAAATGAACAGCACTATAGAAAAATAATGCAGAAGATAACAGAAAATAAAAATGATGCAGAAGAAAACAAAAGTAGAAGCTTCTTAGCACCATTAAAAATGTAAATAACATTTTCATTTTGGTACATTTTGGATCAAGATGATCATAAAGATTTTACCTTTAATTTCTCCAAAGTTCCCTGATCCCATAGCAAGAAGCTTGTCTTTCCAGTCCTTTGATAGGAGCTTTTCAATACTGGGAGTTTCTGTGTGAAGAGGAGGGGGGAAAGTAAGAAAATCAACATGACTGTTTTTACAATAGAGCTCATTAAAAACCTATCTGCTAAAAATAAGGCCATCCCTAACCAGGGCCCCAGTTCATAATGACTTCATCAACAAACTGATAAGAGGGGAGGAAAAAAGAATGCATTTTGTCACCTGCTGTTTCAAAATCATTAGCTTTTTCCTCTTGCGGAACAAAGCCATACTAATTCTGTATGACAATAGGTACATAGAAACCTGCAGTTCATTGTTTTCCAATTTAGTGAACAAGTTCCTGCGTGTCAGTTTCAGGGTGTTAGTCTGCAGTCAAAAAATAATTATGTTGATAAAATGCACAGTAAAAAAAAGGCAAAAGAATTAGCACTTAAATCTGCTACATGTAATTATATCCCTCTGTGTGTTTACAATTCCATCCACTTTATAATGTGTGCTTAAACATCGTGGCGTTGGTAAGCACACTGAAGAAAGATTTGCCAGTAAAATGAATATTGTAAGTAATTTCCTTAAGTTAGTGTGAAAAAAAGCTTTTATAAAATTGTAAAATACAAAGAGAAAGTATTTCCTAGAATGGAAACCCATTATTTTGCTCATTTCAGATTTACATCACTCCCTTAAAAAAATGGTGGCAGAAGTATTTAGAGGAAATGCACATTTTAGACCTCAAGATTGTGGATGGGTCTGATATTTGTAACGCAGAAACACTTGCATTGTAACCTCTTCTTTTGTGTTGAATCGTAACGTATAAGTAAATATAAATGCTAATAAAATTCAGAAAAAAACATTAAACTCAATTCCAAACAATGTAATTGTATATTCTTGTCAGCGTTTAGATGGGTACACAATTACAATGGCTTTCAATACCACGATTAGCACTGCATTCAGTTAGAAAATGGAGTGTACTAAAAGATAAGTGTCCCAGTATGCTCCATCTAAATAACAATACTCACACTTATTATCTGGATCTAAGACATCCACTGCTATTCTCCACATTTGTGTTTATGTGTATTTGTATTTGTTCAGACATTTGTTTACCCCCTACTAGGAGCATAAAGGGAGTACATGTTAACTTATCAAAGGGACCGTCTGGCCTAGGGACCATGTGATTATTAGAAACTGGTTAATTTTCCCCACAGTAAAATGCATTTTAGGGAATCTTCATTATCTCATTTGGTTAACGTTCCTACTTTTTCGGACCCCCAAGTTAAAGCTATCAACAATTAGTGTCCCAAAGTCTGTAAAGAGTTTTCAACAAAACTACACTAGGATTTTTCATGGAAAAGTAACAATACTGTATAAACACTTTTATCTTTAATTTCAAAAGGTTCATAGAAAATGAGAAACTGAGTCTCACCTACCATTGTATTATAGGCTCCATATGTATAAATACATACTGTGAGTGCACATATCTATATCTGTCTATCTACATGAACCCTTATATGTGCATTCTTGTGTTTGTGTGTGCACAGTGGGCTTTAACATTTAAAAAAAAGTTTCTATCTGTATGTGCAAAAGTCTTCACTGCTTAATTAGAATCTCTAACTTCTTTCTTCAAAAATTAACTTTCCTATATGCTTTAAAATGATAGAGGTGATTTCATAACAATGAAGTAGATAAAATGTTTTTCATTGTAAACAAGGCTACTATTCATGATCTTAAATGGTCTTATTTTAAACACTTTTTTGTAAATACTCCCAAAGTTTGTACTTTCCCAGTAAACACTTTTTGAAGGGAATAATTTTTAAAACTTATCTGGGTAGGTCAAATAAATATCACCATTTCTTTTTTTTTTCCTAGCACTCTTCAAAATTTTTCGAGGTTCATGTATACAGGGTGCAGCCAATGTGTTATTTGCAATAGAGTAACTGTCAGTCGTTAAAAGCTAACAAACCTTTGCAAAGCAGGAACGCAGCAATAGAAATTCATTGTGAACTAACAATAGCCTACAGAACCTCCAGGCACCAAAAGCAGACCATTTTACTTTTAAGGCTATTGTCTGCAAAGTCCATGACAAAGTTTTTCCCCTGCAGCTAGACAAAATATTCGCTGTAGTGTGCTCATAAAGAAACAGAAGTCTTCTGTCTAAATTGCAGAGTTAAAGGAACAGTAGCCTGATTTCTGAAACCTGCAGAACACTCCAGGTCTCTCTTTATTGACTATTATAAAGATATAAGACTTAGTTGTAAAACAACTTTATCCAAGTATGCTATTTCTTTTTAAGCCTCAAATGAATAGTTCCTTTAAAATGATAAACTCCAAAGATATTTGGGCATGATATATCAGAATGTATAGTTAAAAATCTATGGATAAATGATGACAAAAATATTTTCAAATGGCATGAATTTAAATTATTTACTGATGGTCAGGATGAGAGAAGGGTTATCATCCTCATGAACATTAACATTTATCAGGCCCTTTAAAAGTTTGCAAAATATTTTACACACATCATCGCTTTTAATTCTCATAATAATCCTGTTAGGAAAAAGAGTCTGTTACTGTAAAGAGTTCAGATTTGGGATAAAAGGAGCTTCTTTCAAATCTCAATTCAGTTACTTACGAATGGTTTGATTTGGGGAATCAACTAACCTTTCTTTTATGATTTTTGCATTCTTAGTGCCTAGCATAGTGCCAAGCACAGAGTAGGCACTCATTAGATGCTAACGGAATTTAACTGAATTTTATTGAATTGAAGTGAATAAAATTTAATTCTAGGTCTTAGTTTTTCTCAGCTGTAAAATGAGGCGATTGGGTTAGATAATCTTTAAAGTCCTTCTCAGTCTAAAATTTATTATCCCAAATTTATTAATGAGGAAATTGAAACTCCAAGGGAATATGCAATATTTCTGTGTTTACCAAGCTATTATGTGTGTGTGTGTGTGTGTGTTTAAACTCAATTCTGGCAACACTCTTCTCTCTCCTTATTTTTATACTCCCCTCAAATCTCCATCTCTTAGAATTCCTTCTTGTTGTTCAATTGTGTCCAATTCTTCATGACCGCATTTGGGGTTTTCTTGGCAAACACACTGGAATGGTTTGCCATTTCCTTCTCCAGCTCATTTTATAGATGACTTGCCCAGGGTCACTCAGCTAGTAAGTATCTGAGACCAGATTTGAATTCAGGTCTTCCTACCTCTATGTCAGGTGCTCTATCCCTTGCGCCAGCTAACTGCAGGTTTAGAATGTTTAGTTTTTCTCCAAAGCTGAGTACATCCCCACTTTCTACATGAAACCCTTCCTGATTCCCTCAAATCTAGTGGTTATTTCCTTGCTCTCCTATCTTTATCAATGCATTAATTTTGTATATGTTCATATATGCATATATTGTCTTCTCTCCTAAAACACAAATTCCTTTCACCTTGCATAACGCCTAGCACAAGGCAGATAAAATAAACAAAAAACACCTCCATTGATTCATTGGCTCTAAATATAATATTCTAATCACTCAAAATAAAATAAAAATAATTTTCACTCCACTTTGTACATGTAAAAGGAATGCAGAGAAACAGACCAAGGGCAGTGGAAAGAGGACTAGATTTTGCAATAATAGTTTGATTGAGGCTAGATGTTAATACAAGTTTTTCTACTTCCTGTGGAAGTCACAACCTCTCTGGACTTTGGTTTCCTTATCTTTATTTTTTATTTTTTGTTTTGGTGAGGCAATTGGGGTTAAGTGACCTGCCCAGGGTCACACAGCTAGTGAGGGCTGTGTGTCTGAGGCCAGATTTGAACTCAGGACCTCCTGACTCCAGGGCCCGTGCTCTATCCACTGCACCACCTACCTGCCCCCTCCTTATCTTTAAAGTGAGGGAGATGAACTAGATGATTTCCTAAATCTATGACATTTTACATTTTTAGTTAGAAAATGGAATGTGGGGCAAGATGGTAGTAGAACTTGTTTTCCAAATAATTCTCCTACCTAATAAGCTCCCCCTCCCCTAGGAAAAAAGCATTAACTCTGTAAAAATTAAAGTTGAATCCATAAGATGAACCATAAATACTATAAAAGCTAAAAGCATTATGGAATAATACCTAAGACCTGAAAAAACTTAATTTTTTAACTCACTAGTCTTTTTACCTCAAGGCTATTGTTTCAAGTCTGCTGAAGTGGCTATACTTGGTTCTCCTCATGAAGTGATTTTGTCTCAACCCCCCCTCCCATATCCTACAGTAGGCTGAAAATATAGATGCTGTTCAGTCATAAAAAAGAAAGGGATACAACTATTGGGTATGTGTATGAAAGGTGATAGTTGGGGGAAGGTGACGCAGAAGAGCAACACAGAGATAGTCAGAGGAGACAGTGCTTCTGAGATCAAAGGAACAAGAAGAATAAATAATAGTTAGGATGAGTTCTTTCCCCACAGGAAACCAGTTAGCATCCCAAATTCCTCAAATTGAGGACACAGACTCCCAGATATGTGCAGGAAGAGAAATATTTGCATTAGTAATGGAAGGGGCCAAAGAATGAGGAAGGAGTCCGAAACAAATTATTGGGAATATAAGAAAAAAGTTAAAAGACAAAAAAAAAAATCAAGCTCATAAGCAGATAAACAGTGAAACTCACAAAAGCAGAAGAAAAAAATGAGTAAAAATTCACAAAAGGCCATAACAAATTGAGTACATATTATGCTACAAGCAAACTGAGCCAAAAAGTTCCAGTGATAAGGAGAATTCTAGAGATTCTACAGACATCAGGGAACAACTAAAAGAAATTTCAGAATTTTCTAAGAGAGAAATAAATTTTTGAAAGATATCATCAGGGTGGGCAGTTGATCAACAATTAAATACCTCAAGTCAAGAAATAATTAAGACAAAAAAAACAGATTAGATAACTTAGAACACAAGGTGAAAAATCTCTCCAAAGAAACAGATATCCTACACAAAAAGAAAGATAGATTTGAAACTCAAAATTATACGAGTAAAAAAAAAGGCAGAAAAGAAGCAAAAGACAACTTTGAAAAGATTTATGATTTTTTTATAAGCTAAAGCA